CTCTCAAAACAGTGGGGGTGAGGTTCTAAGCCTCACCTCTGTTGATCCCCAATTTCTCACCTGATGGCCCCCCTGCGACTGTGCCTGTCTTAGGTTGTTCCTCCTTGGGGGAATATTACCCGTCTCTGGCTAACCAGTCATCTTCCGGGGCCATACAGGGAAATGTAAAGTTGGTAAGTGAGAGAGAAGCAATAGTCTTTGAAAAGGTTAGCTTTTTACTTCTTTGCTCTGCACAGACTTTTATCAGTGCCTCCAAAACTCTCAAGGACCTAAGAGCTCTCTGTGTCAGTGCCTCACCACAACTACGAGTCTCCGGAGCCCAGCACCGGACCAGACATGTGCCAGAGGGTCAAGAGATAAACATTTGTTGGATGAGTGGATGGATGGATGGACAGACAGACAGAGGGAAAACACAGTAGAACAGATGCCTGGAAGGACTGCATGGGCAAACACAGAGTGGCGATGTAGAGACATTAAAAGAGCTCTTGATCGGGAGTCTGGAAGCTTTCCTGTTCATTAGCTCTGTGACCTCGGACAAGTCCTCCACCCCTCTGGACCTCAGTCTTCCCCCTGTAAAATGAGGGAGGCAATAGCATAGACTGTCTGATACCTGACCTGCAAGGGCCCTTCAGCTCCTGCTCTGACTCTGTGGTGGCAGGTATATCACATTCTGTCGGAACACACAGTTCACCTTGGTTTCTGGATGCAGGGACTGGAGCAGAGGTTCTGGGATCAGAGGAGGCCTGGAAGCTAGAGCAGGGAAGGGCAGTGCCTGAAATATGGATCCAGTTTTCTGGCAGGAGATCAGCTCTGGCAGCTGCTCAGGAAACAATTTGTTCCTGACCCCCTACAGCCACCACCAAATTGGGAAATTTGGAGGGTGAGGCCTTGGCATATGTGACCAACAGCCTTTGGCCTCTTTGCAAGGCAGGGCCTCCTGCCCAGGGGGCCAATTGGAGACCCCTGACTCCAGCTGGGGGAGTCTCCCTCTCTACTGTGTGTGGCACCCAAGACCAAAGCCACTTCTCATTTTATTCTCTGCAGAGGGAAAAAAACCTTTGTGCCTGCCAAGCTCCCACACCTCTAGCTGTGTTCTCCTAGGCACACAATTAGGCTCCTGACTGTTTCCCTGTCCAGTTTTACAAATGTTTTTCCTATGCTGTAGAATAAATTAATTAATCATAATAGTAGTAGCCAATATTCATCAAGTGCTCACTATATTGAGCACTGTTTTATGAATTCTACATGGATCAATTCATTTAGTCCTTACAACAACCTCTGAGGTAGGGACTATTTTCCTCATTTTACAGATAAGAAATGTAAGGCAGAAAACGAAGTTTAAGAACTTGACAACTCTGAAGCTGGATTCAGACCTGGGCAATTTAGCTTGAAATCTGCACCTTGCCATAGGCAACAAATGAATGAATGAGCAATCTGTTCATGACAGAAATATCCTCACTGTACCTAGAAGCATGAAGGAAGGGCCTCCAGTGGTAGTAGTAAGGTCTGGAAAAATCAGGGGAGGCTTCCTGGAGGTGATGATAATTGAACTGATTGTGAATAAGTGAGAAGTGGGGAGGGGCAAGGGGCGCTTCTGTAGAGAGGACAGCAGGAATAAAGACATGGAGGCAGCAAGGAACTACCAGGATCTGTAGGGAACCCCAACAGCTAGGGATGCTGGGCTTCAAGGCAGGACTGGACAGGGATTTGCACAGAGAGATTTCAGGCTCAAAGGAAAAGAAAGTGTGGGAAATGGAAATGACTGTGGAGGAGGCATCAGGGCTTAGGTGATAGTGAAGACTGTAGCTGGTAGATTGGGCTGAGAAAGTCATTTCAGGCAGGGGAAAAAGCATGGAGGTGGGAGAGTGGGAGAGAAGTATTTAGGGAAACATCTGCTTTGGCAGGAGAAGAGGAATGTTCACTGTACACTGACTGCTGAGACACCAGCAAAGCCCATGCACAGAATTCTGCCCTGTGGAGGAATAGCCAGAGTTCTCTCAAAGAGCCAGTTTTCAGTTCTAGCTGTGTGACCCTAGATTAGTCACTTGAGTCTTAATTTCCACATCTGTAAAGTGGAGGTGATAAGTCACTACCGAAGAAGCTTGCTCAGTGGTTTAAAAGTGCAAAGGTGTGTGGAGGGACTTTGTAAGCCGTAAGGTGTTCAGCCATGCCCCTCAATCCCTGTACTGACACAGCACAGGCCAACTCCAATCTGCAGAATCAGAAGGGGACTTTTATAGACATCCATTCTCTTCCAGCTCTTTTTTTCTATTATTTCCTCAAGTGGTCCTGATGCTCTATTAACTTGAGATCTGCCGGTTTCTGACCATTGGAAAGTAGAAAATACAGTAAGAAAAATGGTTAGGGAACCTGGAGGTTCATAGAAATACATTGAATTTGGAGAGTTTTCTGATCAGGGCTTGACAGTTATGATAAAGGAAAGAAAAAGAAAGACCTTTTTAGCTTTTTCAAAACATGGGAAATGAGCAAGGCAGCCAAAGGGACTAAAGATGCCTTTGACTTCGAGGCTGAAGAGTTTTGAGGGAAAACAAACCTCAACCAATCACCCTCCATTGCAGTATGGCTAGTCAAGTAAACCAATTAAAAGTACACAGCACCCTACAGCTTATGATCTGTTTGCATCAATTCATTAGATCTGTATTAATTTGTATTAACTTATTAGATCCTTCCTATATCGCTAAAAGTAGGTTCTTATTTACTCCCATTTTACATGTCAGGAATCTAAGGCTCAAGGGAGGAAGCAACAAGACTAAAGTCCATGGGTAAACAGGGATAGAGCAATGATTTGCATTTGGGGCTCTTAGGCTCCAAGGCCTCTCTACTGTACTATATTCTACTGCTTCTGTTGATTCTAAGGTAGCAGCAAGAGCCCCAGAGCCTTAGCTGCCATTCCAGCTCTGCAGAAAACATGTGGTGTAACTCTGAGCAGATCTCTTGCCCATTCTGGACCTCACCACTATCAGTCTAGGGTTGTTGTTATAGGGCTTAAATGATGTAAAGGCCTTAAAAGTATCCAGAACAATCCTGGCATGTGGTAGAGACCACAAGATGAACACAAGGGTGGATAGTGCATGTGTACAAAGATATGGCAACATCATAGGAGGGACCGACTTTGCCAGGCAGAGGGCTCTTGCAGGGAGAGGAATTTGGACAGAAACTTGAAGAATTCAGAGGCACATCCCTCCCTCACCTCCCTGCCCCTAGTTCCATGTGACTAGAAGGCTCGAGCTTGGGACATGTGAGGGGGTGGCCAGAAATGAGGATGACGAGGTAGGGGTTGGGGGATAATGCCAAGCCAAGGAGTTTGGCTTCTGCCATTGAAAGGTTTTTAAGCAGGCAAGTGTCATGATACATTCTGCAGATTTGCAGTGTAGAAAGGTCATTTTTGCTGTAGTGAGGACAGCAGACAGGGAAGGTGGGCAGGGTTAATAGAGTCCCTATCCAAAGCCCCTGGAGGCCACTTCCTAGTTCGGGAAGATCAAGGGAAGTGATGAATGTAGCAAGTGCTCAGAAACTGCCACAGCCACCAGCCAAGGTGTGAAGGGCTGTTTGTCAAGCTTATGTTAAAGGAGAGGCCCTCCAAAAGGGCCTGGAGCCCCACACCCAGCTGGCCTAATGCTGCATACAAAGCGCAGTAGGAGTTAGCATCCCCCAGTTCCCTGGGACTTTGAGTATTCGTCTCCATTTCTCAGATGCTGACCTGAGCTTCACCCAACAGCTCCACATCAAAGGAGGCAAGGGTGAGAGTCTCTCCGCTAGGGCAGAGATGGGAGTGCTTTGAAAGAAAGCCCCTCCTCCGTTGGTGGGCTGGAAGGGTCAGGTAACTATTCCTGTCTCCTCCTCTCGCAGGCCTGCTGGGCTTAGCTGGAGAGCCAGACTAATGCTTCACTGTTGCTTTTACGCCTCACAATAGCCTCTTCAACAGTTGCAGAACCTCAGAGAGGTTAGGCAACTTGTCTAAGATTACCCAGAACTAGTAAGTGGCAGGGCTGGAGTCTGAACCCTGTTCAGGCTTACGTGGGGCCCTCACCAAACAGGTCTTTGGTTATCCCTCCCTTCCAGGAGCCAGGTGGCTCCAGAAGGGCCCTGACTCCTCCTGAGGGCCCCAGATTAAGGTACTCGGAATTGAATCTCAGCAGCCCATTTATTTTAAGCTTGACTGTGAGGAGATAGATGACTAGTTGCAAAAAAGGTCTAGCACAATTTCAAAGACTGATTCATGAGAAGTCTGAGCTGGTCTGCCCCACCGACTTCCCAGTTCTAGAAGCTGGGATTCTGACGGGGAGGACAGTGGGCAGAGATGAGAGAATGGGAGCTCTCCCTGTGTTACCCTGGTAAGACTGGGCTCCCAGCCCTCCCCTCTCCTCTCCCCTCTCTGACTGGCAGGGTCTTCAGGTCTCAGCTCACTCAGCCAGTGGAGCAGAGTCACCAGGACCACACACAGACTTTGAGTGCAGGGGGGGATGGGGGGGGGGGAACTTGCAGGAGCACTTTGTTCCCTGGGGAGCAGATATGATTTAGCTGCCCTGAGGCCTGGGGTATTGGCTTCTCCTCCTCCATCCCCCTCTCCCAACTTGCCTTCCTCCTTCCCCAGGCAGACAGACAGACAGGCAGACACACACAAGCCCAAGCAACATTTATTTTTTTAATTAAAAATAAAAAGTAATAAGGAAAGGAGAAGCAAAAAGACTGGGTATGCAAATTTGGGCTATTGCAAGGGGAACATTGCCCCGTCTCTGCACCCAGGGGCCCTGTCCACAGCAGGAAGCTTCTGGGAGGTCCAGGGTTTAAGACCAAACTCTCCTTCAACCCCCTGGCCAGATGCCTCTGGGGTGCCTAACTGCACCCTCCTTCACCTGGCCCCCATTGTCTGAGTGTGTAGACTGTGAGACTCAAACTCACAACACCCCACCCCCCACCCCCCACAAACTCTTGTAGAGAATGCATCCACCAGGCAGGCAATTTCTCCCTCAGCCCCCATTTTAAAAAGTTTTTTTGGATGGTTTCCTGCCCTTTACACAATAAAGAGGGGTGAGAGAGGATGAGCTGCAGAGGGAGCAGTAGATGTAAACTCCTGCCTAGTCACCCTGGCAGTTTTCTGTCTTAGAAATCCAACCAGAAGTCATGGTTCCCTCCAGAAAAAAATAAGTCTGTTGCTTTCTCTCCTCTCCTGCCAGCTTTTCTGCTTAAAACCAGCTCTCTCTCCTCTCTGCGGGTTCATCTTTCAGCCAGTCTTCCTGCCAGTCTTCCTCTGCTTCAGATTCTTGGTCTCCCTCTTGTTAACGTCTCTGGACCTCTTTCACCCATCCAAAAAAAACTGGGGGTAGAGGGCTGACCTCGAGAAGAGGGAATCCTCGCCCACCCAATCCAACACCACACACACACACACAAACACACTCCAGCGACCTCCAGATGTTCCCGACCGTGCGGCCATCTGCTGAGATGGCTCAGGCACTCCGGGGGAGGGGGGCAGGGATCCCGGTGGCAGGAAGCAGCGAGGCCGGCTGGAGTGGGAGGGAGCTGCGTGCGCACTTTTGAGACGCTCCCTAGGGAGGAACCCTAGGCGCGGGCCCGGCGAGAGGGCGAGGGGCGGGGACCGCGCCAGGAGAGGCCCGCACTTTAGCGACACTCCCTAGGTCGCCGGCTGCCAGCCCGATCCGCCACTGGGCGCTGAGCAGGCGGTGGTGCGCCCAGCCGCGGGCGGGGACCGGGGGGCGGGCCGCGCCGCGCTGAGAAAAGCGCCGGCCGGAGGGCCGGTGGCTGGGCCGCCAGGCTGAGAGTGCCGAGGCGGCTGTGGCGCAGGCTTCTAGGTAGGTTCGGGTTTCGGGCTGAGCGGGAGTCCGCGCCGCCGGCGAACGTCCGGAGCCCCCAACTCCAGCCTTGCTGCCCCATCCGGCGGGCGGACGGCGCTGGAGGCAGGGGCGGACCCTGCGCCCCTCAACTTTTGCTGGACTCAGGGCATCGACAGCGGCCTCTGGGCGCCCGGGGCTCGGCCGGGGTGGAGTAGCTGGACCAGGGGGAGAGGGCTTCCAGGAGACAAAGGCTTTGGCCGGGGCCGTGGGCGTGGGCCGGTGCCTCTGGGGTCTTTGTGCAGACACGTGCATCGCGAGTTTGCGGGTCTTTGTGGATTTCGGTCCGAGGACTAGCTTCTGCCTGCGCCTTTGTGTGTCCGTGACTTTGCGTGTCCATTTCGCGCCTGTGTCCATGTTTTGTGGGCCCGTGCTTGGTTGTTGGTGGGCGTATCGTTATGTGTCCGCGTACGTGGTCTGTCCCTGTCGACGTGTCTGGGTTGGGTGTCCGGGGAGTGTGTGCGCGCCGAGAGCCAGACACCGCCCCAACTCCTCGCTGCCTTGTCCACCGGCCCCCTACTTGGCTTCAAACTTTTCTCCCGGTTCCTTGGGCAAAACCCTCGTCCTCCCGCTGCAGCCCGAGCGGGGGGCGCTGGCAGTCCGCCCCTTTTCCACCTCGTGTGGTCCTTAGCGCTGCGAGGGGTGGGATAGAATTGGTGGGGGGTTGGGGGATCGGCAGCGCCTGGGGACTGGCCCCAGCCAAAGTTGGGCGGAGCGTGTCGGATACCCTAGCTGAACCAGCTAGGACAGAGGTAAGCGACTGGTTCGGGACACCGGCCCCGGGCTGAAGAGCGGAGGGGAGAGGGCAGCGGGTGTTACCCGCCCCGCGCTTCTCAGAAAGAGAGTATGTGACCGAGAGAGACGTGTCTGCTCGGCGGAGAGGCCGGCTCCAGCCCCACGCTCCGCTTTGACATCCACTTTAAGTTTGCATCCCACCCCCTGGGTGGGGAGGACCAGCCCTCCGGTCCCGTAGGTGACAAGGTAACGGCTTCTCGGATCCGGGCCTGCCCACGGTGCCGGCGCCAGGACCCCGAGCTGGGTTGCGGGAAGTAGGAACCTTTGCACATAGTGGTTCTGGATAGGAAGGCCACTGGCCCGCAGTAAGGCACCGGCCAGGTCGATCAGCCTCCCGGAGTCGCGGTCACCCTGTGCCACGTTATGGACCAGGGTGAGAACTCCCTCTCTGCGCAGAGCGTGCGGTGAAGATAACCCGCTGGGCAAGGGCAGTGCCCGCCCACACTTGGCCAGGATGAGGAGGTGACTCAAGGAGCTTCTTCCATTCTTCCTGCCTGCTCTGTGCTTCCTATAAGTCCAGACTTGCAGAGCCCAGCTCTGACCTGAGCGGCAGGACTGGGGGCGGGAGCCTGTTGGGCCTTTGATCCGGAATTGCAAGGATAACCCTAACATCTTCTCTCCCTTACCCCCACCTCCGACCCTGCCCTTTCACGGAGAACTTTACCAGACGCTGCTAAAGTGAATGAGAGGCACAGGCCACTCATCTGGGAAGGAGGCAACTGTGGGCACTTTTCCTTTCCCTCTCTGGGCCTCAGTTTCCCTTCTGGAAATGGAGGTGTTGACAGCCAATCTCATCCCTTCCTGTTTTGGCTGACTGGTTGGGAAACCAGAACCTGAGAACACTTTGATGTTTAACACAGCCCACCATTCTGACTCGACCAATTCCCAGGCGCTATTTGCTCTTTCGAAGGAGGGGGAGGGGAAGTGGCTTTGAAGTTAGGGAGGGATGAAGTTTGGTGGGCCTGGAGTCCCTGCTACCCAGGAAGGGAGGGCTGGAATGCAGGAGCCTGGGGAGGCCAGGAGAATACACCCAGGAGGTATGAAGTGTCTCGCACAGAAGAAACAAAGCTGTATGGCTTTGTGTGTTCTGACAACAGCACAGAGAGGGTCAATATTGTGGACTGTCAGATCCGAGGTGGTGGGGAAGGGGGTATTGGAATTCCACTTGAGGCTGGGAGAGAAGGCAGGGGCCAAATATGAGGGCCTTGAATGCCAGGCCTAGAGCTGGGATTTGCACCTGTAGGCAGTGGAGAGCTGCTGTGTGGGGGTGGGGGGGTTATGCAGGTATATGAGGCTCTGGCTTATGGGTAGTGCTGGAGACTGGAGACCAATCTGGAAGCCAACTGCCTCTTAAAAGTCAGAAGGACCTGGATTTTACTCCCACTCCACAACTTCCCAGCTCTGTGGCCTTGGGCAAGTAACTTTACCTCTCTGATCCTCTCTCCTCATCCTTCAAATGAGAATAGTTAATTCCAGTCTTGCTGATCTGTTGTGAATGTTAAATAGGATAATGAATTACACATGCTTTGAATAAAATGAGATGAGGTTTGTAGTCTGTCATACACTATGCAGACATTGATCGGATTGCACTGATAATAGAAGGCAGGCAGAGACAGCACTTAACTATGGTCCTAAACTTGATTTCACCATGTGGCAAAGCCCTAAGTCTCCTGCAGCCTTGGCCCAATTGTTATCCTTGCCAGGGGAGGGAAGCTTTTTGTCTAGGACATTTCATTTCTCTGGCCTGGTCCCACACAGGAGAGGAGCTGGACACAACCAGATCCAGATGGCCACAGACCATAGAGCTGTACCTTAACAGGGGTGGCCCAGGGGCCACAGGATCTGAGGGGAAGAGTAAGCTTTTGCTGGATGAGAGACAGGTTCAACTGGGAAGGCCTCACAGAGGAGATGTCTTTAGAATTGAATGATTGGAGTTTGCATGGTAGACAAAGAAAAGGAGGGCCTCTTGGTCATCTTTGTCAGAGGGAATATCCTGTGCAAAGGCGTGGGGCCCTAGGAGCAAGATAAGCCCCCAGACTAGCAAGCTGTCTTTGTGTGGTGGGTTTTAAACAGGGAGGAGTGGTGGGGTCCTAGTTTTCTGCTGGGATTGTACTCTGGTGCCCAGCAAGGCTGGCAGTTGGAGGCAGTGGCCAGGAACAAGGCTGGTACAGCAATCCAGGCTGGGAGGCCTCCTGAGCCCCACCTGGGCAGTGTGAGGTGACTGCCCAGCTTGGGGTTGGGATGGTTAGTGACATGGGAAGACAGAGACACACCTGCCCAGGGGGAGCTGCTGTCCTGTCCTCTGTCACAGGTGACACAACTGCAGCCTGCTTTGGCCTCTGCAACCTTTCCGAACCCCCTTACCAATTTTCTGGTAGAGGCTGGGGAGCACCTGGGGCCGAGGTGGGGCCCTGGCGGTGCACTGGGAGAGAAGGCAAGGCCTCAGGGGATGCATTTTGGAGTCTTCTCTATCCTCTGCTGCTGCCTTGCCTTTGGATCTGCTGGTGTCACAGAAACTTTCCCTTTCTTGGCCCCTGAACTTACCCATTAGGGGGCAGGAACCCACATGCAGTGAGCACCAGTGTGTGCCTGGCCGGGGCTGAGTCTTCACTTGACCTGTGTAATCATCCCAGTGACCTGGGAGCAATGCTGGGATTCTCACCAATTACAGATGAAGTCTCAGACTCAGAAGAGTGGGGGCGCATGCAAGCCTCATAATGCGTGAGGCATTGTGGTGATGGATCCCAGCCTGCCTGCCCAGAACACACTTCTTCCCCATGTGTCCCCACAGGCAGCCTCCCATCGAAGGGAACCTGAAAAGCTTCTGGAAGAAGCTACATTGGAAGGAGTAAATGGTAGGGAACCTTGCCTATTTCCCTGTAGATTATCTTGCATGGGCAAGATTACTGAGCCCAAGGCCCACTAGTACCTGGAATGGAGGAGGCTAAGCACCAGGTGTAAGTACACCTGGACCCCAAGCCCACTCCCTGTCCTCCTCAGCTATGTGACTGGACAGATCACCAAACCTGTCTGGGTCGATTTATGCAGCTCTAAAATAGACACAATGCCACCCAACTTGCTGATCTTGCAGGGCGACTGAACAGGTAATATTTGAGAAGGCATTGGAAAGGTTGAGAAGTGTCCTTTATTGACGTGGTAGTGTTCTAACTGCCTAGGAGATCTTCACATAGTAGCTGCTCTGTGTCAGGCCCAGTTCTTAGGTCCAGGGACGGAAAAATGAATCTTACTCCATCCCTGCCCATGAGAGGACAGACAACTAAATGTAAGTATAGTTCACCACAGTTCAGCTCTGGATGTCATCCTTACATGTGCCCATTTGTAAGTTGAGACACAGTGGTGTAAAGAACATTGGGTTTGGAGCTCAGACATTGGGATTTGGGTTCCTTTACTACCAGCTGAATAATGTCAGGCTCCTTGTCTGCAAAGTAGGGGTAGTAACCCCCAGTGAAGGACCGCAGGGAGGCAGGAATGAGATGGCAGTGGGGAAGTGCACAGCGAGCTGACATGCTTGTACAGATGTGCAGCATGAGCGATTCTCTTGGGAGAGTTGGCCCTCAAGGCTCCGGGAGTTTGGCCGTGAAATTCTTTTCGCCTTGCGTTTTCAGAGCTGACTGTGGTTGGAGGCAGGACATTAATGGAATTTCCACCTGGGGATTTCGTTGGCATGAGTTTAAGTGAGCTCATGATGAGGGGAACAGGGTGGGAGGCTCAACATTGAGCAGCTGGTGGAGGCAAAGGCCTGTCTCAGGTGCAGGGCCCTCGTCCAGCCTGAGGCTCAGCCCCCTGCCCACCCCCCTATGCCAGAGGCTCCCTCTTGAAGTTGTGGGAAGCAGCTGGCAAATCCATGGGCTAGAGATGCTGTGGTGGGGCACCAGGGGCAGGCAGCTGGCGCCAAGAGGGCCTGAGCTGGAACCCATAACCAGAGAGGTCTTCTCAGAGGAGGAGAGAGATCGGAGCCTTGCCAACAGACACAAGCACAATGACAGAGAATGTTAGCACAAGAAGGCACTGACCTGCTGGGTGCCTGGCACTGTGTTGGGTATTTATGTGGGTGGAACAAAGAGAATAACATGATCATTGCCTTCAGGAAGCTTAAAAATCATAACCACCACGGTCTATCATGAATCAGGCACTTAACATGTGGCAGATAATGAGCTGTGTGTTTCCCACACTGTCCCTCTCTGCTTTTGCCAACCCTGCCTTGTCCCTGTTGAGGACACTGAGAATCCACAAGGTAGACCCTTGCCTGAGGCTAGCAGGTACAGTGCTGGATTCACACCTGGTCTGTGTCCCACCTGAGTGCCCTGTTGACACTTACCTGCTGGGCTCCTCACTCGTCTAGCAATGTTTGCCGTGCCAGCAGGCCTGGCTCCGGCCCCAGGTCAGGGAAAGGGTGAACAGGTGGAGAAGGCAGGGTCACTGCCTCGAGCTGCTCACACTTCAAGTCAGGAACTGGGCGGGTAAATAACGGTAGAGAACTGACTCCTGTGTCTGAAGGAGGTGTGCCCATGGTATGGTGTGAGGCCCAGGGAGCAAGGAAGAGGGGCCAGGAGTGGGGGTTGGGGGCAGGAGCCTGAGTGGACAGAACAGGCCTTGTTCCGCTGGTGGGGCCAGGGCTGGCCCGGTGGATGCAGGCAGTGCTGACAGCATGTGAAGCATCAGGACCCAGGTCCTGCATCCACTCTGCCGTGTCCCTGCCACCACTGCCCCTGTCTGGGGCAGCTCTCCAGCCCCGGGGTTCCTGAGTTTAGGGAAGTGTGAGCAGAGGCAGAGAGCTGGTCAGAGGCCATCACTGTGGGTTCAAATCAAGATGGGGGTGGGGGTTTGACTTCTCTAGCCAGGAGAGGGAGGAAGGTGAGGATCCCTTGCAGATGCCTCCATGCCAGAGAGAACTTACTTTCTCTGTAGGTTAAGTGAAGTCAAGAGGTTTTTGAGAAGGGGAGTGATGTGGCCAAATCTGTTTTAGAGACTCTCCTAGCAGGGCCTGGGGGTCTCTGTGGTGTGACTTGCATGGAGCCTGTTAGTAAATAGCCACACCATTTACTCCAGTTACTCTTCTGACCTCACAGGCTGTCAACAAACTGTTCTTAGAGGTACAGTGGGCCCAACAAGAAATGACTCATGGCCTCTGCCCAGAGGACCTTTTGCTCTGTCCCCCAGGTCACGGGGGGGAGCGGTTTCCAAGCCCTTGCCCTCCCACCCTGTGGTCTGTAACCTGGCTATTCAGTGGGTATCTTAACTGCAGGTTGGGATTTGGAAAAGAAGTGATGTGTTTTGGGCCAAAGATCCTGTTCCTCCCTCAGCCTTCCATGGTGGCCACCTGTCGGCCTTTCCCTTTCTCCTGCGGGTAGATCCCAGACCCAGAAGGAGGCAGAGTTGATACTGTTAAACAGATCAGACAACTAAGGCTCAAAGAAATGAAGAAAACTGCGAAGGTCACATGGATAGTGGCAGACCTAGTACTAGAGTCCTGGTCTCCTGGGTCCCAGGCAGGGGTTGATGATCGTGTTATGAATTGGTCTTTGTAACAATTGCTGGTCTGTGAGCCCCATGAGGAGAGGGGCCCTGGCGCCCCACCCCAATCCTGATAAACGTGTCATATGGCCTAGCACGGTGCCTGGCATTTAGTAGAAATTTAGTAAATGCTTTTAATAAATTTTGAAATCCTGAAATGCTGGGGCTGGATTGTCTAGACTAAACCTCTTACTATGAAGCTGAAGAAACTGAGGCTCAGAGAGGCAAGGGGACTTGTCCAAAGATGTAAATAGGCCATGCAGAGCAGGGACTGGGGCTGGGGCTCCTGACCTGTGTCCCATGCACAGTTGCCTGCCACCTCCCCTTTGGCCCCCTGCAGAGTGGTGAAGGGGGTGGGGTGGCCCTTGGCCAGCCTCCTGGGGGGACTCCCACCATGTAACCTTGGAGAGACAGGCAGCCATCCACTGCACAGCTGTCAATGTCCTGGCACTGCCATCTCCAGTCCTCCGTTGGAGGAAGGGGTGGTTGTCTCCATGAGAAAATGGACTGAGAGAGAGAGGAAGTCTGCTTCCCAAAGTTACCCAGGTTAGCAGGTGACTCCTGTTTCCAGTTTTGGAACTCTTTCACATCAGAGAATTGGTCACAGAATGACCATTTCTATCTCAAGGGCCACCTCTGATCAATGGGTAGAGGCCTCCTAGAGGTCCGTATTGAGAAGAGCTCTGAGGTCCTGTGCAGATTCCCCAGGAAGTGGCTCTGAGTTTGATGAATTATGCCTACAGTGGGCAAGGTTTTAGGTACAGGGAAAAGGCACAGTTTTTCCGGCATGTGGCTTCCACCACCTGGGGCCTTGTTTCTCTGTAGGAGTGTTCAGCTTCTGTCTCTCTTCACAAACATCCTCTCTGAGGCTGATGGGGTCATCACCACCCTCCCAGATTCACAGCTGAAGGAACCAGTCCAGAGAGGTGGTGACTTGCCTGGTTCACAATGCAGGTTGGTGTCCAAGGCCTTCACTGTAGAGCTGAGGCTGGTGGTTCTTGTGAAGAGGAACTCACATTACTCATCCTTTCCCAGATTAGCAACCCTGTTGAGAAACAGCATAGTATGGCCTCCCAGGAAAGAACTATTCTCCAGGAGAGTAAGAGTTTTGATGTGTTTTGTACATGCTTGCTGAAGGCAGGCGGGAGGGAGATGGGGTCAGGCCCACCCGCTGATCCCCACCCCATTGCTCTTGTCTACGGAGAAAGTCAGGACAGCCGGCAGTGCACCGTACCACGTGCTGGGAGCCCTGCTAGGGCCTGACTTCTACCACTGTTTTGTCTCCACCGCAGTCTCCTCTGAGGTGGCTATGTCCATTTTACAGATGGGGAAACTAAAGCAGAGATTGTGGCGAGCCAAGATCAGAGAAAGCAGAGATGGCCACCAGGTATTCTTATTAGGAGCTCCTGTTGCTCAGTGTGTTTTATGTATATATAAATGGTGGGGGGGTGGAGGAGATTAAGACCTGTTTAAATCCCTCCAAGTTGTACCAGCTAAAGAAAAATCACTGATGTGTTGATGCATTTTCTTCTGGACTTTCCAAAATTAAGATCTGGATTTTTTTTAATGCAGTCATCATTTTCCTAGACAGGTGACTTAGCCTCGTGGTATCTACCATTATGGCATCAGCCCCATCTGTGAGGTTGCAGACTCTCCTCGGCATTATTCTTATTGGCTCCTAAGGAGAGCTCAACAGCCATCTGAGGGGCTGGAAAGCCCTAGGCCTGAAGTCAAGGGGCCAGGGCCTGTGCACGGGCTGCCACCACTCACTGGAGATCCGAGGACAAGTCCCTGCCATCCCTCTGGACTTCAGCTTCCTCATCGCTCTCGTGCGGATTGCACACCCTGCTCCATAGCCCTCTCTGAGCAAAGGTCTTTTGTGAACTGTGAAGGGCGGTGCCCCCTGCAGGAGCTTTCCTTACCTTCCCTCAGTCTCCTGGGAAAGCGCTGTCCTCCATTGGGGCTGGGAGCAGTTGTGCTATGCCTAGGCAGCTCACACAAAGGCATCCCTCATGTTGCCCCAAGGGGACACTTCCTCTGAGCAGAACGGGCACTGACTGACTCTCAAAGACTACCCACCCTCACCTCCTGGTCCAAGTTGTGAGGCCTCTCAGGGTTCTCTCCCTTTTCTTTCCCCATCAGCCTGGGACACCCCTGAGAGGCCTCTGAGCTCTTGCTGTGACCTCAGGAAAACCCCAGAACCAATGAGTGTTTAAAAAACAGACATCTACCTGATCACAGCCGTCAATGGCAGCTGGGCCTTGGCCCTGAGACTTTGGGAGCTCAGCTCTTCTTTTCTCAGCAACACACAGAAATGCATGCTCCTCTTGAACCAGACCAATTATGAGGTTTCAAAGGCCTGAGTTCAGTTCCTGACTCTGCCACCTTCTTTACTCGCCCTGTCCCCCCAAACCCAAGTGGACATAAGGCTGCTGACCTCTTTGGGTTGCTGAGGATGTGTGAGAGAACACGTGTCCGGCACTAGCACAGAGCGAGGACTGGCTCTGACTGTCACTGTGAGCCCTTTCCATCGCAAGTGTCCAGGCCTGGCACAGAACAGGGACCCAGGGAGGGGTGGCTGCTCTGCAGGGCCGAGCACGGACCTTGCCCAGAGTGCCCTGGGAGCATTCACCAGCACAGCCATCCAGCTGGGTCTCAGTCTATGCTCCTGCTCCCTTTACATCACCACTGCCTCAGTTCCATAGCTCCAGCGGCCTGGTGATGGCCACCCTGCATATGTGCACAGTTCTTCACAGTTTGGACTTCTGTGAAAGTCAAATCAACTTACATGATGAGGTCAGGGCAAGAATTACTGCCCTGTGGTACATAGGACAAGGCTGAGGCCTGGAGAGGGCTGGCAAGAGGCCCTGTCTCTGGAGGGGGAGCATCTGGGCTGCGTCCCCACTGCCTGTTACATAAGCAGGAGCTCATGAGGGGCCACTTGGCATTTAATAGGCATGTTGTATAATAACCTTTGGGAACCAAAAATGTAATCTCGGGGCCTTTGTGTATGTGTATGGTGTTTGTTTTAACCCCAGGAAGGGTGAGTGTGAGCAGATCGGCTTAGCGGAGAAGGTGGGGCCCTAAGTGGTAATGAACCCCTGCGGTGAGAAGCTCACCCTGGGGAACAAAGGGAGCCTGAAGCAACTTAATATTTTCCTTTTGGTTCCAGATATTGGAACACTCTGTCCTGCCTCAGTTGGGACCAAGCCCAGGATGCACCTGGGCCTGGCTTAATCCTCAAATTGGACTCTACAGAAGAAAGGGGTGGAGGAGGAGGGGCCCCCACAGGGGAGCGGGGAGAAAAGCCCCACTTCTCCCTGCCCCTGCACAGAGCCAGAGTGCAGATCGAGTGGCTACCCTTTCAAGTTTCATGTAGGGCTGGTAATCCTATCCTGCTGCACCCTCCGCACCCACCCCCAGCCTAGAGAAGAGGTGGGTAGTGGGAGACAAGGCCGGCGTGCAGAGCAGGGCCATCCCGGATGAAGACTTGGTCAAGTGAGGTGTGGTGCCCTCCATCTCCCGGGCTGTGGCCACATAATGGGCACGAACACAGGCTTTGGGTCAGAAAGATGTGAGTGGGTATGAGGACTGAATGTGACTGCATATGTTGTGCCCAGCACTAGTGACAACTCCTGTTATAATTGTGCAGGGAGGGAAACTGAGGCCGGGGGAGGGGAAGTGGCTTTCATCCTAGCATGTATCAGTGGGAAAAGCCCCCTTGGACCCTGCCTCCCCGTGGGCCACCCTGCCAGTCCTGCAAGAGATGGGAGATGAAAACAGGAACTGGAATTGAGCAGGCCTGCACTCTAATCCTGCCCTGCTTTTTACTAGTTCAGGGTAAAACCCTTCTTCACTCTGAGCCTCTCTTTCTTCGTTTATATAATGGGGGAACCAGCCCAGCTGCCTGTGCAAGGTTAAAGAAAGGGCCAAAGAGGTGTCATAGCTGTGTCAGCTGGGGCAAGGCAAGGGGAAGGGGCTTGTCCCCAGAGCCTGTCTGGGAGTCTAGACACCCAGTCCCCAACTAGAATGAAGGATCCTGCCTCTGGAGGCAGATGAGGTGAGGGGGCTTAGGACTGTGGGCTCAGTCATTGTCACTCATGAAGGCGGTGAGGTGGAGACAGTCACTGCAGGGCCCCCTTGCAGGGAGATGCCTCTGTCTGGGAGGCTGAAGTGTGGGTCTCAGGGTTGGCTCCGCCACAGCCAGAGCACCACAGTGAGCCATGCCTGCTCTGTACTCCACCTGGTTCCGTCCCTGCGTATTGAGACCATGTATAACTTTCTGAACCTTCTATGTCTCAGTTCCCTGTTCATAAAGTGGCAACAGAAATTGTTGCCTTGAGAGTTTTGTGGTTGTGAGGGTTAAGTGAAACCAGGCAGTAAGGCAGTGTGCCCAGCACCCAGCAAGTACATAGCACATGCTCAGCACAGGTGAATGGAGCACGCTAACCCTAACCCCTGAGCTGTGAGCCCTCCCTTATAGGGCCTGGGTCAAGGCCAGCTCATGGACTCTAGACCTTCAGAGCTGGAGAGGCCAACCAAAATCCATCTAGTCCAGTGGGGTTCCTCCTGGGTTCCTTACAACCCATGGCAGGGATGGTGGGCTGGCATGGAGGGCTCTAGGCTCCTACCCTCCCTTCAGCCAGAACAGGCCCACTTTCATCTGCTTATCTTATCTAGGAAAGGGTTCAGCTGCTTCCAATTTGAAATCCACTCTACCAAATGTACAGATGGGGAGACTGAGGCCAGAGAGGAACAGGGACTAGGAGTTATCTGAGGAGGAGTGCTCGGGGGAAGCGTTCCAGGAAGAGTGTGAGGCTGGTGCAACTTTCAGCTGTGCCTCCGCACATGGCTTGTGGTGGGATAGAACCATCTGGAATGGGTCCGTGCTGCCAACCCTCACCTGTGGCTCTCTTTCTAGTCCCCACCATGCCGTGGCCCCTGCTGCTATTGCTGGCTGTGAGCGTTGCCCAGACAACCCGGCCGTGCTTCCCCGGGTGCCAGTGTGAAGTGGAGACCTTCGGCCTCTTTGACAGCTTCAGCCTGACACGAGTGGACTGCAGCAGCCTGGGCCCCCACATCATGCCCGTGCCCATCCCTCTGGACACAGCCCACCTGGACTTGTCCTCCAACCGGCTGGAGACGGTGAATGAGTCAGTGCTGGCAGGGCCGGGCTACACCACGCTGACTGGCCTGGATCTCAGTCACAATCTGCTCACCAGCATCTCACCCACCGCCTTCTCCCGCCTTCGCTACCTGGAGTCTCTCGACCTCAGCCACAATGGCCTGGCAGCTCTGCCAGCCAAGGGCTTCACCAGCTCACCCCTGAATGACGTGAACCTTAGCCACAACCGGCTCCACGTGGTCTCAGTGTCTGCCTTCACTACCCACAGCCAGGGCAGGGCGCTGCACGTGGACCTCTCCCACAACCTCATCCATCGCCTTATGCCACACCCCGTGCTGGCCAGCCTGCCCACACCCCCCATTCAGAGCCTGAACCTGGCCTGGAACCAGTTGCGCACCATACCGGACCTCCGGGACTTACCCCTGCGCTACCTGAACCTGGACGGAAACCCGCTGACTGCCATCAGCCCAGGTGCCTTCAGGGGGCTGCCAGGACTTACACACCTGTCGCTGGGCAGTCTGCAGAGCCTCCCCAAGCTGGCACCCTATGGCTTCCATGAGCTGCAGAGCCTGCAGGTCTTGGACTTGTCAGGCAACCCCAAGCTCCAGTGGGCAGGGGCCGAGGTGTTCTCTGGCCTGGGCTCTCTGCAGGAGCTGGACCTGTCAGGCACAGGCCTGATGCCCCTGCCTGAGATACTGCTCTTCCACCTCCCAGCGCTGCAGAGTATGAGCGTGGGCCAGGGTGTGTTGTGCCGGCGTCTGGTGCGGGAGGGTGCTTACCCCCGCCAGCCTGGCTCCAGCCCCAAGGTGGCCCTGCACTGTGCAGACACGCGGGCATCGGCTGTCAAGGGCCCCAACACTTTGTGACGAATGATGTAGCCTAGGGCCACATAACAGACTGCTGCCCTGGGCTTACTCAGGTCTTGGGTAATTTATATTTCCGTGTGCCAGTGCCAGTGGGGACTGTTCAGGCCTATGTGGTAGCAGCATCAGGAGAGATCCAAGGGCCTGAGAAGAGGCTTTGGACCTGCGACCAACACCCAGGAGCAGAGTCTTGCCCCTTTGTCTAGGTTGCCCTTCCAATCATAAGCAGAGGGTCTTTGATGCCAGATTAAACAACAGTCCTCTGCTGTCCTTCCCCACTTGTTTCCTAAAGTGCCTTTCCTCGGGCCTGGGCCAACCTGGCCTGTGACAGGAGGAAGGTGGAGGGAGATTCACTGCCAGGCAGAGGTCAGGTCCACGGCTGAGTGTCCCCTTGGGCCACCACCTAGTCACTCAGGGGCATGGGTTTCTTTTACAAGGTGGTCCCTTCTTTGCTCTGGGCACATGAGACCCACTGCATTTTTTTCTCTTCCCCTAGAATCCTGGGTAAAACTAGTTATAGAAGGGACTGGAGAAAAAATCAAGTGTAACTGCTCATGTGACAGAGGGGGAAACAGGCCTAGAGAAGGAAAAATCGCTAATCTGAGGTACTACTGGGGACATGACTGGCCCCCAGGGTCCTCCTAGCTGGGTCCCTTTGCACTTTCCTGTCTTCTGTAAATCATGCCGTCCTCTCCCCTTCCTGGGCTCTCCCATCCTGCCATTTGTGCTCTTCCCCTGTTAGCCCCCAGGAGGACAGGCAGGGGCCACAGAGGCCGGATGCTGGACCAGTAATCAGCTGTATAGCATGGGCTTAAATGAGTTAACCTTGGAGCCTCTGGAAGCTTCAGAAATGCCAGTTCCAGCCCTGCTAGTTTCCCATTTGGGGTGGGGTCCCCAGCATCCAGACTGGAAATGTGCCCATTGAGCCCTGAGGTACTGCCTCTAGATGCTCCCCAATAAGATAAGGCATTTCTGCAACCCCATCTGGCCATGAGCTCCAAGAGGCCTCCTGGATTCAACCCCCACAGGCCTTGAGTCCAACAGCCCTCCTCATCCTGCTGAGAATGCACAGAGGGAGTCAGGGTAGCCCCCACCCATCTTTATGCTCCACCACAGGGGTGACATCTCAGCTTCCCAGCCTGGGCTCTTTCCTTAGTATTAGTTTTATAAAAGTTGTTGTCTTTGTAATGGACTGTCACTTTCAACCACCCCCTCACCCCTGCTGGCAGGGGATTGAAATGTGTCTTTTGTAAAAGAAGAAAAACTGCATTTGTTCACTTTTATAATATTGTGTCCCAGAAATGTGTTGAGGGAGGAGGTGTTGGGTGGAAGCCAGCCATATGTGGCCATGTGAGCATCAGAGGCTTGTCCCAAAGAGACGCCCACAGGACAGTGAGAGCTCTGTCCTCGCCGCGAGCCCCACCCAGCACCTAATTGGTCCTTGGTTTAATAAACACTATACAAAGAGTCCCTCTTTCCATCTTTCAGCCAGCATCCACTGATGTTCCCTGGGCTGGGCCCTGGGGTCACAGGAATGAATCGAGAGAAACCCTTTCCTGGGCATTAACCATTAACCGCCAATGATTTGGGGAGTGAGATGACAGGAGGGATGGAGTTACTCAGGAGCAGGTTGCACCACTCACCTTCCTTACCTCCCCTCTCTCTGCCACCCCTCACCTCCATGAACTTGGCAGGCCCTTGCACATCTCTGCCTTGACTCTGGCTGTTTCTCTGGGACCTTGTCCTCACCCTGCCTCTCAGCTCCTCCTTGTAATAGACCCAGTTCCTGCTTCATGTCCTCGGAAGCTTTCGCTGAGGTCCCCTTTCACCTCCTCTGAACTCCGACAGCACTCGGTTCCTTCTTGGCATTGTGACAGCTGTAGTACCCTAACTCCTGTTTGGATACTTCCAGGGACAGGCAAGTCACTTCCAGTCATCTGAATGGCTCTGCTGTCAGCAGGTTCTTCTAACTGGCCGAGGTCTGCAGCAATATCCGTCACCATCACCAACAGTGACAAGCTTTTCCTGATACCTGCTCTGTGCCCAGGGACTTACGTTTCTGTGATGGGAGTGGACAGGACACATGGAGGATGCCTGCATGTAAGAGCAGCACAGGGGACAGTGAGAGCCATATGGTGGTAGGAAGGCTTCCTGGAGAAGGCTCACCACAGAGCTGAGGGGACAATTAGACCCAGACAGAGGTGGCTAGCGCTTGGAAGGGTCCTGGATAAGCAGTTAGGTATGGCTGAGAGCTCGCCCATTGTGTAACTTAGGCCCCTCCCAGGGCTTGGGCTCCCTGAGCAATGAAGGGTCAGAATGGGAAGGGGTAGAGACAGGTGTGGGGGTGGGGGTCAGGGTGAGACCCCAGTCCTCACAGTCCTCGAGTTGGTTCTCCACCCTCCTAAAATCCCTTGGACAAGGGAGGCTTCAAATGCAGGGGTAGGAGAGGGATTCCATGGACTTTCACCCGGGGCGCTGGGCCAGCCTACAGCCCTGCTTGAAGAAGGAGTCCTTGGGGAAGGCCATAGAGCATAGGGGTCTTAAAGATAGGGGGCAAAGCAGTGCTGAAGGCAGGGTGCCCTGGCCTGCATGCCTTAAGGATAGCAGAAGCCCATGGAGGCAGCAGGCCTCGCACCCAGGCAGCCACTCCAGAAGCTCCCAGCCCGCAGTGCCACCTAGTGGTGCGCATGGCCAGACCCACCCTGTTCTAGAGGTCCCAGAACAAGGCCCTGGACTCCTACAGGCCCGAAGTGCAGCCCATTTGCAGTTTGTGGGGCCAGCCCCTTCTTCCCCTAGCCATACTACCTTCATGCTGCCACACTTCTCCCTCTTGGAATCATGGGGCCAAGAATGAGAAACTTAACAGAATTACAGAGATGAATGCAAAGATTCCATTCTGGAGTTCATAGGTGAGGGTTAAAATCCTGGGTTCATCATGAACCAGTTGTGTGACTTTGGCCAAGTCACTACACCTCTCTGAGCCTGGAAAATGGGGATGAAAATATCTCCCTCCACAGGACTGCCTGGAGAGTAAATGAACTAAGTTTGGTAAAGAATCGAGTGCAGGGCCTGGCACAAAACAGACGCCCTATAAATGCTTGTTTCCTCCCTCGTTCAGCTGTAGAATTATGAAATAGGCTACAGAACGTTAGCCTTAGACTCATTTTTTGGTAACTGCCTCGGAACTGAAGAATTTCCTAGAGGTTTAGGATGGAGAAGTGTGGAACAGTACTCTAGTCCAGAGGATCTTCACTGTGTGCCTCGTGTGGAACAGGCCTTCAGTGCTCACGGCAGTGGAGTGTTAGAGATGTGAGACAACTAAGGCACAGTTTGCCGCCATGGCATAAGCTGGGTCATAAATGTCTCCTTGCATGCCAGTAATAATACAGTTGCCATTTGCTGGGTCCCCTGTCCCTTGGGCTTGGTGTACGTGCTGTCATTTCCTCCTCGCAACAGCTGCCCCAGGTAGTATTGTCACCATATAGGTGAGGAAACCAGCCTGGGCCTGGCTTAATCCATCAGATGGTGAGTCTTTCATTCTTGCCCATTCCACCTCAGTGGCTGAGCCTGCTGTGCAGATCCCATGTGTCTGAGAGGGCAGAGCTACTCTGAGAAACCAAAACCACCAGGATTCCACTCATTTTTGTGTTGAAAATAAACTGGAGATGTTAGGCAGCTCTAAATATCTCCAATCAGACCATTGATTTTAGATCCTAGAACATGAGAAGCCAAAGATCAAACCAAAGCCCTTCCCCTCCTGGCCCCATTTCACAGATGCACAGACATGCCCAGAGAGAAACAGCCTAAGGTCACATGGCAGGTGGCCAGGATTCTGTGCTTCAGAGTCAGCTATGTAGTTTGTGAGACTCAGCATAAAATGAAAATAATTGTTCAGAATGATTAAGAACTTCAAGATGGTAAGAGCACAGCATTAAACCAAGCAGAGACCCTTCTTAGGTCCCATGGAGCCAGCTGTGCTTTGATCCTACCATTTACAGAGCAGGAAGGGGCAAACACCCAGTGCTGGTCAGGATGGCAGGGGAGTCCATGTGGATTGTGTGTAACCCAATCTCTCTGCAGCTCAAGGAGCCAATTAGACTCTTTCAAACCCAAGATAATGCCCTTCGTGGGTGTTATTGAACCACCCCCCAATTTCTCCAGATTGTCATGGTTGAAGGGTCTCAGAGAAGGCAGATGGAGGTGTGGATACTAGCACCTACCGACTGCCTCCAAACTAGCTGAAAGGAGGTTTCTCTGGACAAGACTTTCAGGCATATGAGTGACAGAGGCCTACCCTCTGCTCAAACCTAATGCCCACCAAGACAACAGAGGTCATCGCAGGCTAATAGGGCCTTGCCCATCAATGTTGCATGTTGGCTGATGTTCATCAGGGAGCAAATGTCCATTGGTATCTAACATTAATCAGTACATAACATCCATTAAGGAAGCCCTCACAATGGCTGGTATCCACAAAGGGAAAATGTCCAGTGGTGGCAATATCTACTGCTGCCCAGTAGATACCAATGCCCAGGGTTTGTAGGTAGCTAACAGTTACAATTGCTCTGTGCATCAAAGCCCAATGTCAATCCATTGCTCACCATCTAGCAACACTAATAGCTATCCAGTTCAGTCATGCACCTTGAGTTTATTCTTCTCATATTTATTTAAGTACCAACAGTTTTATTTAGGGAGATTATTGTGTTTGTTGAGCGAGGTGGGAAATTCTTCCTGTTTAATTCCAAAAGCTCTTTATTATTTTATTTTACTTACCCATTAGTCAAATACTCTCAATTAGGAATACAAACATACATTTAAGTTCTGTAACATGTACACATATGAATAGGTAACATGTATAAAAAATTATATACATGATACAGGAAGACAGAGAAAAAGAGAAACAGGTTTGAGGCTAGAAGTGTCAAGCCAGGAAAAATTTTCTAATTTGTTGAGTCTTAGAAGCAGCAACATTTCCAAAGCTGGTGATAATTTGAGGCAGCAGGCTTCCTGCTCTGGAGAATAGGACAAAGAGTCCTACATTGGACTGAAAGAAGCCAGGTTCCCTAATTCAGGTAAGTTATGACATAAGGGCTCCTTAAGGCAGCACAACCAGTGATAAGGGCAGAGGCTCCAAAGGGAGGCTGCCTGCTCTTCTACTTATAGCTAAGTGGCCTGGGGTAAGCCACTCAACCTCTCTTCAAGCCTCAGTTTCCACATCTGCAAAATGGCAACAGTAGCCACCTCACAGGGTTCTTGTGGGTGGTAAGTCAATGTACATAAAATCCTTAGAACAGTGCCTGGCATATGATAAGTGCCATACAATAAATAATATGAAAATCCCTCCCCTTTTTTTTTGAAAATTCTTTTGTCAAACTTCCAAGCATGCTGTGATTCAAAATATTCTCAGGCAGAGTTTCTTCAGGAGCTATCAGCAGCTGATCTCATAGAAGCTGTTATGCTTAGGAATTTTAAGATGTTCTACTCCCTGCACCAGTACATTTCAAAATCGCATCTCCATACAGCTTCCTTCTGACCCAATACTCATAAGGACACAGGAAATAGCAGTAAGGCTTAGGAAATAACCTCGTGACTGCCCTCCCCAGGCCTGGCAGTCACAGATGACATGACCCACTTGCTGTGATTTGAGATGCAGGGAAGACCTTCCACCATTCCCACTCTCCCCACTCTCCCTGACAGCGTCACTCAGTCTGAAATTCCATTTCTCTTCAGCTTAAGCCATGATTGTTGCCTGATGTCGTTTCTAGATAGGCAGGGACTTGGGGCCCCAGGAGTGTGATTGGGGCGTGGAGACTAGGGTCTGTGGGAGTAGGCCATTCATCAGTGGGGAACAAGGGGGACCTGGCTACGTCCTCAAATGTGAGGTATGACCATTGCTGAGACTGATGCCAGAGGCAAGATTCTGAGACCTATGAAGAACAGCGGTCCTTTACATATACTGCCTTCTCTGCCAAACAACGTGATACCCTGTTATATCGGTGGCCCCCAGTGACCCAAACTCCTGGTATTTTCAGCCTGTGTAGGACCTTCCTCTTGCATCGGGGCTGAGCCTTTGATTTGCTTGAATCAATAGAATGCATAGATGTGGCTCTGGGCTAGTTCTACACCTACGTCTTAAGAAGGCCTTTCACTTTTTCGATCTCGGGAGACCAGAGGTGTCAGGTACAGAGTCTGGTGAGTCTGTATGGAGAAGCCCTAAGGCTATATGGAGAGAGAAAAGCTCAACCATCCAGTGTCCCAGCAGATCTCAGAACCAGGCCAATCTTTAACACACTTGAGTGAGGGCAATAAAACCAGCAAAGGAACCAACCAGCGGATTCCAGCCCTGATGGCAGAATCATGAGCAAATAAATGATTGTTGTGCTAAGCCACTGTGTTTTAGAATGACTTTGTACATGGCAATAGAGAGCCAAAACAACAAGCCGCAGTCCCATGTCCCCGCAGCCCTGTTAC